TTTTTAAATCCTTGTATCAAGCCCCAATAGTATTTTTTAAATCCTTGTATCAAGCCCCAATAGTTTAACTCCCATTTTGTAGGTACGGTAGGCAAGGCTTACAGGAACTAAGTAGTTTGCCTACAGTCACACATGATTATGTCACCAGGACTTGAAGCCAGGCATATCACACACAAGATGAAATCCTCACCACACACCAATCTGATCTTAGCCCCATATGTTTACCTTTCCTTAGTTAGGTCCAGAGCTTGCTGGACACAGCTCTTCACTAGCTCAGGCCAGAGGTAACCGTCTCCCATTCTCTTTAAACATAGCTGAGCCCCTCAATCTCCAAAGAAGCAGGGAAGGGGCCTCACCACAAAGAGGCAGATATCAGGTCCAGCTGCATGAGTCGTGACACTATAGTGACTACACTGGCCGACCTCAAGCCTAGGATCTCTAACTCTGGCACTTCTGGCCCTGCCTCAATCTTGGTTGCTGTGGTGGGGCTTTGAGCTTTCAGAGTACACTGGTACCTCCCACCCTTGTACCGGGGCTGAGCCACTTCCTCTCATCTTGCCTGTTCCTCCCTCTCCTCAGCCCCTCAGGTGTAAGCCAGTCTGACTTTCCTCACAGTGAGGAAGAAGGAAGCCACCTGCTTTGAAGACTGCCAGCCAATGGGCCAGATGCCCAAGGTTCAAGAAGGTGTAAGGAGGAACTTCTGCAGGCAGGTGACCCCTGGGACCAGCAGCAGGGCCTCTGACAATGGATAGAACACAGCAGAAGGAAGCCCACAGCCACCATGGGGCCTCAGACACTGCAACCACTTTGTCAGTCTATGTTTCTCTAGGAGCTTCTCCACTGCAACTAATCTCTGACCAGGGAACCACAGGGAGCCCTAGGCTGAAAACAAAGCCAGTGTCATTTATCAGTGGCCTGAGACCAGTGAGGGGTCACAGAAAGCTCTTTGGTGGAATGCATTTCCTCTACAGAAAGAAAAAGAAAAACACAGGATGCACCAAGAAAAAGAAAGTAGTGCTGAACCCACATATGGGCTTCAGAGACACATGAGAAGGTGCTAGAAAGTCCTTGGGTGTACACCGTGTTAATGGTCACTATACTCTAAAGGTATGGCAGCTCTTCAAGTGACATAGCAGACCACCTACATGTCCAACTATGGAAGGTATGGCAGCTCTTCAAGTGACATAGCAGACCACCTACATGCCCAACTATGGCTAGCCCATCCAGGAGAACCTATTGAATCCTTCAACATACGGGAGGAGAGCCAGTTACGGCCACTGAGAGACTGGGTCACTCACCAGACACCTGGGCCATTTGATTTGTTCATCTGAGACACGGACTGCTGTGAGTCATAGACACCAGGCAGGAGGTGCTCAGTTTGGTCCAGGGTCACAGTGGCTCAACTCTGAAATACAGGTAATAACCAGCTAGAAAGCCTTCCTAGCCATAAGAGTCCTACTCCAAACTATTTTATTATGTAGCTCAGGCTAGCCTTGAACTCTAGACCCTCTTACCTTACCTGCCTGAGTACAGACATTATAGATACCTACCCCCACCTCCACTCCCCAGGTCCCATTCAAGGAAGCATGGAAATCAGAGAGTAAGTAAAACACAAACAGGGTACCTTACAAGACCTTAACCACCAAACAAGCCATGTCTCTGAGCACTGAGCACTGAAGGGGCTGCCTTGGGGCAAAGTCTGAACCTCCTACCCTGCCCCAAAGTCCCCAGACTTTGGCTCCTGTGTCTCTCCTAGCACTTCACGCATGAAGAATATGGTCAGGCCTTGTCAACCTCCTTTTGCACTGTTTCTAGGTCTCTGACTCATCTGTGTCCCTGCCTGCCCAACCTTTGCATCTAGCCACACCCCTCCCATCCTTTGGCTAGTGCTTCCTTTGGGAAGCTCTCTGACCCCAAGGCTGGAAGAGGGATTACACATCGAGCTTACCATATTGCCTGACCCCAGCACACACCCATGTGCCGCACACTAACTCCCAAGAGCCTGGTTTCCTCATCTCTGCTGCAGACACTTGTGCCTGAACACCTGATCTGGAGCTGCCTGCTCCCAGACAGACAGCAGAACTCCCCGTGCTGCTGAAGTGATATAAACGGCCCATATTAGCTCTCCCCAACGACAAACACAGAGCCCATGTTCTCTCCAACAAAGCTAAATACAAGGCCTTCTCTAGCGGCAGGCCCATGAGTCATTTGCTCTTGGGCCATCATTCACTGCCCCATACTACATGCAAGCCACCTGGAAAAGTACCAGCTCTCCTGCCCTCCGGGCTTCTTGCCCCGGCCTGGGCCATGCTCAGAAACATAGGGTTTTAAGTCTGTTTACCTCATGACCTGACATGGTTAGACTGGGTCTCAAGACACTAAGATGTGTCTAAAAGATTAAAAGACCATGCCAAGGGGCCCA